ACCGCAGATGGGCACTGCAGACAGACCAGGACGGGGCCCTCAGTCCTCCTCAGAGAGTTGTAGGTCTTCCAGTTCATCCTCCGGCCCCTGGGCAAGCAGTCGCCACAGCTCCCGGGGGGCCGGCCCTGACTCTGCCTCTGAGCCTCCATCTGCAGGGAGACACCGAGGCCACATAAATTCTGCTGTATCAGAAGGAAGCCAGCCTTGGGGTGCTCATCACTAATTAATCACAGCACTAATTAATTTATCGGTGCCGCCGCTGCTGGCCGCCAGAGCTAGCAGGAACAGAGCAGCTGGCCCTACGTCCCCAGGGAGGAAGGAGCCTTGGGCACGAGCTCAAAGGGCACAGCACCCTGACCCGGGAACCACTCACCCTCTGAGTTGCTAGCTTCTTGGCCACTGCTGCTGTCCCTGTCTTCACCCTCGTCGTCGTCCTCTACCCCGTGCTGAGCTCCGGGAGACCTAGGAGTAACTGGGGGCCAAGGCAAGAGCCCATGGGAGGGGCCCACTAGCAGATGCACAAGGGGTGGGTAGCTGGGCTCACAGCCCTGCACCAACCCTCCCCTTGGGCAAGTGGAAAAGATTCAGAACTGCCCTGGAGAGGAGTGGGGAGAGGGACAAGGCCTAGGGACGCATGTTCCAATTCCAGGAGGCCCACCTCAAATCAAAGAAAGCAAAGTGGTGGGGAAGGCAGAGTGGTCCCCACAAACAGGAGCTGAGGTGGGAGTAGGCACCCCTCCACCAGGTCTGGTTGCCCAACCCCTGGGAGTTCAAGCCGAGCCACACAGGCCCACCTCTCTCCGCGAAGTCTTCATCATCATCATCACTGTCCAGGTTGAAGAGGTCCTTGAATTCCACCCTGTCCTCATCCTTTCTGTCCCCCAGCTTCCGCCGCTTTATCTCGGGGAAGTTCAGGTCTTCCAGCTGAAAGGCCCAAAACAAGCAGCAGGTGAGGGTGTGCAGGGAGCCCTGGGTGCCAGCCCGGCCACACGGCCACAGCCGTGCCACCAGCAAGAACCCTCATTCCTAGACAGGCTCCACCTAGAACCAGTGTCGTTTTTCTTTCCCCACACACGCCTGCTGGGCCACTTTTCCTCCCGAAGCCTAGTGAGCATCCCTGGGACGGATTCCTGGACAGCCACCCACTGGCCTTTAAGTGCCATCCAGGTCACAGTCGCATCCTTCAGGGGAGCCCCAGCCCTGCCACCCTGCAGACATTGTCCCCAACAGGCCCCACCACCATCCCGTCTTAAAGTCATAGCCAGGGTGCTAGGTCCTCGTCTCCAAACAATCCAGCCCCCCCACACACCTGCTGGGCCACTTTTCCTCCCGAAGCCTAGTGAGCATCCCTGGGACGGATTCCTGGACAGCCACCCACTGGCCTTTAAGTGCCATCCAGGTCACAGTCGCATCCTTCAGGGGAGCCCCAGCCCTGCCACACTGCAGACATTGTCCCCAA